TTGAAGTTGACAGTTTTTGCAACTTAAAATTCAATTTTCATAAAAACTATAAGCCTCCGGAGGGTGGGGTTTTCAGATTTACAATCACAAAAGGCCGCTCTAAACCCCCTAATTTTTGTTTTTTTTTTAAGCCGGGTTCCGTAGTGGAATATTTTCCCTTCAGCAAACCGGTTCATCGTTTCTGCAATTGTTTCACATTGATTCTCTAAAACAAATTTTCGATGTATTCTTAAAATGCGTAAACCTAAAGGAACATTTTATAGGAAATTAAACTAACAATTTATTAAAACTAGTAGTAACCCCCGAAATACGGGTGAGTACTTAGCTCAAAATTTATTTAAAGAACTTTGTGAAAGACATCAATTAATCTTGTATGGCTCGACACCTGATAACCCAGGATAATTTTTAAGTTCTTAAAAGACATTACTCTACTCTTAACTTCGTGGGTAATGAGAAAACCGTCATCTTTAAGGTAGAGTCCAACCTTTCACAATATCTGGTATTAGTCTTAATCTGAAATGCAATAATCATTGAAAATTGGCGCCGTTTATGATGAAAAGCATTTAATATCACACTCTCAAACTAAAGCTTTCTTAACCCTAGAAGCCTAATCTATTTGGGAGTAACGTAAAGCCTTAATATACGCCTTAGAGGCTTATGTACTTAAAAGATAACCTGTGAGCTAAAATATACTTAGTCCTGTTTTCTTTTTTTAAAGAATATTGAAGTTGTGAGCGTGACTAATAATAAAACATAGTTTTATTAATAAAAACTATAACCACATTTATTTAGAACAACAAAATAAAAAGTAAATTTTGTGTTAAAATAAAAAAGGACCCATTCCGTATACGCNTATTTATTTAAAACAAAAAAATAAAAAGTAAATTTTGTGTTAAAATAAAAAAGGACCCATTCCGTATACGCCTCGCAGACGTAGATTATACTTTTAGGGTTAACCCTTTCAGTACAAAAATTCAACCACTGGTTCTAAAAAATTTTAAATATGTATACCGGCTGATTTTGCATCGTTCAT